CAAGGGCAATTATCTTCTTCTTCATCTTTTATGGCTTGGCCGGGGAAGGGTCGTCGGAGGAGATGGCAGGGGGAGGGGGCGAGGCATTTTCAGGGGCCGAAGAGGGGGAGGCGGGGCCAGAGGCCGGGGAGGGAAACTCTTTTATTGTGACGGTGACAAGATTGGTGGTTACATCGGTGACCACCACATCCTTGCAGCTTGGCCCAATCTGTGGGTGCCAGTCAGGGTCACCTTCTACGGGAACCCTCTGTGGTTCGCTGGGGTTGGCGCTCTGGCTAGCTGGCGGAGCTGCCGCGGGAGCAGCGGTGGGTGAAGGAATATTAGCATTGCACTGGTGAGGCTCGTTGCTGTCCACAGCTTCTTTATCTTCCTGTTCCACACTGTCTTCTAAAGAAGACGAAGGTGAGGAGGGGAGGAAGGGTGAGGAGGGCACCGCTGTGTTTTCACATGTGAACGAAGGATCCGAAATGTTGGCACCGTGGCCCTTTTCAGTCTCTGTTGGGGGGTCACTGGGCTCAGGATCATGACTGGAAGGTGGGGCTGAAGAGCCAGGCCTGGACTGTGAGGCCACCGTGGGAGAAGATTTTCCTTCAGAGCTGCTGGAACTGGAAGGAGAAGGCGGAGTCTTGAGCTGAGAGGCGGCAGCGTGGTTGTTCCTGACTGCCGCGCTGGAGCGTGACCCAGAATTGGAGTGGAAAGGCACAGGGCCTCCACACTGCAGCCCAAACGGCTTCCCATACATCGGGAAACCCAGCATCTTCAGAGGAGGTTGGAAGGGTCTGTAGGGGGCTTCTCCCTTTTTACCAATGATGCGATTGCGTGACGGGATGTTCTGGCGTCCTGAAGTAGCATTCCTACTGCCTGCAGAGGCGCCACCTCTTCCTGGCTTGTCTGTGACCTTCAAGTTGAGGATGATTCGACCTCTCTTTACCTCTCGAGGTTTGACCCGGCGGTTGAGTATGCGGACGGTTTCAGAGAAGGGGGAGACATGCATGCGTGACGGGAGGCCTCCAGCGCTGGAGAAAGAAGACGCCATGGGGTCTGAGCGGGGCAGAGGACGCCTGGACATCCGGTGGCAGCGGTGAATGTCCTTTTTCAGCTTGTGGGTGGCAGCGAGGGAGTTGAGTTTGGGAGAGGGGCCAATCGCAGAAGAAGAGGATGAGAGAGATGGCAGATGAGGTGTGGCGGCGGCGGAGGAGGAGGAGGTGGAGGTGGAGGAGGAGGGAGCAGCTCGGCTGGAAGCTGAACGTGACACACTCTGACGAGTGCTAGCATTTTGGCTGCTGGGATCTCTCTTCTGACCACGAGCCTGGATTTAGGAAATAAAGTGCGACAAACTTGGGTTTTAAGTTGAAAGCAAAAGCAAGTGAAGATTTGAGGAAGAAAACAAAGCATCAAACTGGAAATTTAAACAGTTAGTGTTTCAAAACTGTTCATGCTGTAGTAAATGATTGAAAAAATCAGAACGATGTCAACAACAGATGAGCTGTGACGTTTTTAGTGACACTAAAGTCATCAAAAATGTAATTAAAATACACTTTTCTTGGGAAAATTAAAGTCATCAAAAATGTAATTAAAATAAATACCTTCATGAAATGTTTAGGCTTTGGTCCCCGTTTCTTCGGACCACTCTTTTCTCTGTCTCGTTCCCTGAAAGGTCAATAAAACAATGCTTATTAACACAGAACTCAGTCAGACACAAGAAGCTTTTGAAGGAAAAGTATTTCACATCTGTTTTACGTGAAGTTTGATTTAGTTTTGACAAAAGTGTGGTGTTTCTTTTATGTCTCTTCTGTCCATTTCTGTAGACCCTGAAGGGACGTACAACATGAAGATATTGCAGGGACACTGTGTCGTACTGACTTTTGTTCGAAGCCCATTATCAGTCTGTCATCCAGAATATTCTCCTCTGGTTCCCAGGTGCTGTGTCTGAGGAGAAAGAAAAATCATGAAAGCAAAAAAAAAACAAAACAATAAATTGTACTTCATCCCTTTGTTAGTTATAATGTGTAATCACAACTTACTTCATTGCCCATCCTTTCCATTTTACCAAGTATTCAAGTCTTCCCTGTAAGAAAAATAATATAAAAGATTATAGATTGTATTGTATATATTATGTATAATTTTAAATGTGCTGTGTACAATGTAATATACAGAATAAAAGTTTGTTTTTATGCTTATTTTCAGTATATACTGTATATACTTCAAATCTACTGCATATAGTAAGTCACTTTTTTGAGGTTTTGGCTGATATGCAGCACATTAAAATAAATAAATAAACATGTGATGCCAACAATCTTATTGAATTGTATTTTATAGCTAGTTTCTGTATCAGAAATTATCCTGAGGTCTAAAAAGATTGTCTATCTTGAGTGTTATTTTATGTTTTGTTTGGTGCCGTGTGGGTCTCTTTAAACGCCTTTATAAAACTTCACACTCCAGCAGTTGGTACTTAAGAAAAATTATATAAATGTTTATACACAGTCAACATAAAGTTACACAGTCAACTTTAACAACTCCTTTATTTCAGCTTAAATTAAATCTAAATCTTGGCCACGATGCATTTGTAACAACCTCAAACATTAACTTCAATTTCCAGTGTTCCGTGACATTATTTCATTTCTGTGCAGACAGAATTAGGAGAGAGAAAAAACTGGTTGAGCAGATTTAGGATAAGGTTAGACATGAGTAGATGAGTGATGGGTGAGGATAAAGCGATTGATTGATTGATATAAATGAAGGGGGTGAGGGGTTTATTCAGATAGTCCTACTATCCACACGAGTACTTTGTGAAAAGCACTTGGGGAAATATTAGATAAGATAATCATGGTTGTATGTGGTTATGAGTTTTTCCGAACTTCTGGGTGTTTTTATGACTGATTTAAGATGGCATCCCTCCGATGTTTCTGGGGTCTTTTTTACAGTTTAAAACCCGTGCTGACTAACAGAAGACAGACTTCAGGTCAAATCACTTCAACATGTCCCTGAGTCAAAAAACAAAAAACGAATGATTTTTGTGGGCAGATATAGAGGCGGTTAACGCAGGAGTGCTGTTGGAGACACTTTTAAGTGAAGGCTTGACTGTGACCGAGGAACGTTAGCTGCCATTAGCCGCCACACAAGTCAGTCCCCCTCCATTTCACCGCACAGACACCTCCTCATCTCCTCCGCAGCGCTGCCTGGTTCATATGCAGCTTCTCCTTTGTGTGTCTGCATTTTATTGCCCTGTTATTGGCTCTACTTTTCAGCCGCGGCTGCGTTACCTAGCTTCCAGCTAACTGTAGCTAGCAAAATAAGGGCCTCTGTAGAGATACACAGCCATAGGCAGAGACCCCTCCGAGTTTGTAAAGGGGAGCAGTGGTCTGCTGTGTTTTGCTGTGCTGGCCGCGGCCAACACCCGCAGGACAGCTGAAAGGCGCGGGACGGCGGCGGCGGCGGCGTGAGCTCACCTTACGGACGCGCCGTTTCAATATGGCTTCCGCGGCGAAAATGCGATCCCCCGCCGCTAAGGGCTCCATCTTTCATGCCTAACTGAGCGGCCTGTCTCTGTCTGGTTTGCTCTGTGCAGCTGAGGACAGGCTCTACTTCTGCTGCTATCTGCTCAGGCCGAACACACAGCAGTAGTAGTAGGCGGCAGGGCGACTCAACGCTAACGACGCACAAAAACACACAGCAGCTACTACAGTGGCAAATGTGTCACGTGGTACGGGCCAGCCCCTCTGGTTGTCCCGGTAACGGCTAAGACATTCAGGAGGATGCGAGAAGCGCGCGCTGTCTCTGGCCGTCATCACCACTTTGTGACGTCATTTATTTATTATGTTATCGCAGAGGGACGGTGTTTCTTGGAAAACAGGAATATGCTAAGCATAGCACATCAAAATATAATGTTTTTATATTATAAAATCACTTCAAGGATATTTGCAAAAAAGAAAGTTGTACAATGAAGATGCCAATTAACCAAGAATTGATTTCAAATTTCTGTTGTGTCGATGTTTTAGATACTTTTTTTTCCAAGGTAAAAGCAACATTTTAATTTTTAAAAGTTGTCTATTTTAACACTAGCCGTTCCCTGGTAGTAATATTGTACAATTATATTTTCTGATATTAATAAACCCTAATGTCAGATGAATAACATGTGTAATTGTAGTTACAAACATTTTAAATGTGACCAAACTTGCTATATAGCCTGAGCTAGCTAGAAAATAGGTTGTCGTTATGGGAGCAAATGCCTCTTTAGATTTATAAAATAGACCCCACATCAATGGTATTTGTACGTGTAAACAAATTCAACATGTGATGGAATTAATAACAAAAATAAATTGTACTTTACCGTAAACATCTTACTGGACACACACACCTAATTTATAATAATAGTAATTTAAAAAAAAAACGTTTCTCGTCGTGTGACTACCATGACTTTATGCCCCGCCCCCTCAACGCTAGACTAGGCAGTCTCCTACCTCTGATTGGAGGAGCTCACGTCAATCATGATTGAGTCAAGCTTGGTTGTGTTGTCACGGTTGTTGATGTCGCTGTCAAAAGTCAGTTGGCGCAAAGGGCAGTTAGCAGGTAAGCATCGATACGCTGAAGCCGGGTTTATATGTATATGAACAAATACAGTCTTTATCGTCATTGTCCATAGGGTTACCTTTCGAAAATACACCCATACGTTTACACTTTCGGTTTTGTTTTGTATTTGTTTTAAATTAAAGACGAAAGAGCTATGGTACTCGGTCGATCAGAGAGTACTGCCTGTCGGCGCTGCTGTCGTGTCCAATTGATTTTAAACAACAAGATATGCATGATGAGCAGCCTGGAAAAAAAGAGCCACTTGTTTGTAGCACTAAATGAACATCATTATGCGTAATTTGTCACAGTAATGACGATTGTCAGGAGTGTCCGAGTAACGGAGAATTGACATCTAGCCCCTGTTATTCTACCCTAACGCAGTCCTACAGGTGGTGAGGACGTCACAGATGACTTCACCTGACAGGAAACTGTTTGTGGTTAACAGATTTCCGTTTCACATCTCAGTGAACAACAGATTTTTAATTCTACCAGCTGAAGGGATATAAAACTTCTTTTTAGTTTCACACGCGTTGCTTCTCTGAAATGTTCCCTGAAATCATGTCATGAAAGTCGGGTTGAAAATGTATAATTTAGTAGTCAGGACAACTAGCCTTCAGACTGAAGAAGGGCAAAAAAGTGATGTCACTGGACTTAAACATTTCTGCCAAAATGTGTTTTCTATTCTTTACTTTTCTTTGAAGTAAAACATCTTTAAAAACATTGCTCGTTTCCTCTTTTATTTCCAGATGACAATGCAGTTTTTTGGCCGCCTGTTGGACACAGTGTCCTCCGTCTCCACCCTCTTCACCAACCCATATCGAGTCAAAGATGTCCCTTTGTCTGACTACGGCGGCAGGGGCAAAGTGTTGCTGAAAGAAGATGGACGCCTAGTCTTGTACAAAAACAGCCAATCATGGGACTGCCTGCTGATGTGTCCAGAGACGCCGACTGTGGTTCAGAGGTCAGTACTGATATCACGACAATTGGAGCCATTGCTTAAAGACCAAATGTGACACAAAATGTGTTCTTTGCCTGTCTATGAAAGACTAACAGGGTTCAGCATGAGTCATGTCCTTCAGTCAACAAGCTGTAGGTTTGAAAAGTAGGCTTAAGGTAAGATATTAATCTGGGAGGTGAAAACTGTTCCTATTGTACAGCTGCTATAAATCAGGTTTCGCAACAACTGTCAGTTTACACCAATCAAATGACAGCGTGATGGCTATTCATTTGACTGCACTGTACTGTTGATATTTAATTTGACAAAAGTTCAGTCACAGAACAGAACAGAACAACAAAGCAAGCTTAGTTTGTAGCTGGTCAGTTCACTGGTCATTAATCACAAGAAACAAAGGCCTTTGTTAAACTAAATTACTCAACTTTCACAAGTTAAGATTGAGATTAAGACGATGTTTATTTGCCCAATTTACTGTGTTGACAGCAGCAGAGTACAAAAAAGTATCTGGTCCAAAGTAGGAATTGAAGAAAGCCTACGTCTACAACAAGTTATACTGTATTTGTACCACATCTGTAGAATGTCCTTATTCCAGTGTAAATGAAACTAAAAATACATTTTAATTATTTTATTTTATATCTCAACAACTTCTTCTTCTTCCATTTTATTTTGCGTCCTTACTCCAGTGTCAAAGAAACTAAAAATACATTTTAAGTATTTTAATGTCTCAACTTCTTCTTCTTCCATTTTATTTTGCGGCTCTACCCGAACCAGACTGTTTCAGGTGGTGTCAGAGGAAGACGCCATGAACTGGTTCCCGCAGTATGCACTCAAGCTCCGGCCCTTCTATGAGACATTTCCTGTGAAAGCTGAGACCACCCAAACAATTGTGGATAGCATCCGCCACCACCCTGACTGGAGCTCTGCCCACATTGCTGTGGAGACAGGCCTCCGAGAGTGTCTGAAGCATAACTACGTTCAGAGGTGAGAAAATAATTATGTGTTGTTTTGTTTTTATGATTTAAAAGTAAACAAAGAACCCAACAAGTTTCAGGAAAAAGTGCCCCCAATTCTGTCTGTCAATGTTGTCAATATTATGTCAATTATACGACTTCTCTCTATTATTCTCACTTGGTTTTGAATTCCTTTCATTAAAAATTATAGCTCTGCTCCTCTACATGTTCATCCATCTTAGTGGGAACGAGTACAGGCTGCATTCAGCGAAGAAACACAGCCTCATTTTTAGGGATGACTGTCGAACATTTATAAAGAAAATTTGAATTTTGCAACGTTGGATATTGCAGTGCAGAAAAGAAAATATTTCCAAGTATTTATTGGCTTCACAACCTGCCACAGTTACCACACATCTCATCATCTCGTTTCCCCTTTTTTCAGTCAAATAAATTCTCGGGATGCAGCGGGTCGCACGCCGCTGCATCTGGCATGTGAGCGTGGTGATCTGGTGTGTGTTAAGGAGCTGCTGGAGGAAAGCCAGGCTCGCACTGACATCAAAGACCGCAGCGGAGAGACGCCCATGCACTGTGCTGCCAAGCAGGATTCACCTGCTGTTATTCAGGTGAGGAGACCAGGAAATTTGAATTTACTGACTCGCAGCATCATAGAAAACTCTCTCTCATTGACTTTCACCTTTTCTCGTCCTCCAGATCCTGTGTTTGCGGCTCTGTCCAGGGATGAACGGCCTCAGTGACAACGGGGAGACGGCCCTTCATATAGCCTGCCGTATGGGCCACATGGAGGCCGTCAAAGCCCTGTTGGACGGAGGGGCCAAGTGTGACGTCATTGGAAGCACTGGGTATCCGATCCACAGTGCCATGAAGTACAGTGAGAAAGGGTGAGTTGGACACAGACGCACGACAGAATTCCAACTCTCATTCCAGACGAAACTTTTTAGATTTCATGAATGGTGCTTTGATTAGAGAGGTGAGAAGAATGAATGTAATGAACTGATGGAATGTTATGATTGCGTTTTATCACTGCAGCCTATTGTTGCTACTAGCGAGTGACCTTGTGTTAAAGAAAACAAAAATGACATTTTGTTATGTGAAGTAAACACAACATTCCATTTTGCTACACATTTCTGTAGAAGATGAAAATCAGTTCTAAAATCTGTTTAATTTTTTTTATTTGAAAGTTGTGTAGGGGAAGTCCTCAAAGCAGACCCACGTCAGCTTCACGCAGAAGATCCGATATACGGAGGCACTCCGCTGCACTGGGCCAAAACAGCAGAGGTACAAAAAAAAGTATCATCATGTCATCACTGTGCTCAAAATTCTCTTTTCAGATAATAAATGTGTTTGGTTGATACTAACCTTTTTAAAACAGGCACATCATTTTAAAAAGAATCCTACAACACACCACTGATCAAAAAGTATATGTAATAATTTATAATTGAGATCTTGTTGTTTTTATTTACTCATATTTTTCTCTCAGAGTGTTGAATCTGTTTCGTTGAACACAACACTGATAGTCTCGCAGGAATTGAAGAAAGGCAGAAGATCTTCCACAGCACTGAGCTGTTAGTTTGTAATAGCCATCTGCTGCCATCAAGTGGCGTAATTTATGAATTACTCTGTCTGTCACAGTCAGACTAATGAAGACAAACTATTTGCAGGAAAGAAATAGTTTAGTTTTCATTCGATTTGGGCAGAGAAAGTTTGGCTAAAGTAAAAGTCGGTTTCAGAAACTTCAGGGTTTTTCTGAACTGAATAGATTTCTTTGTGTTTCCGTATCAGATGTGTCATGTTCTCTTGGCGCATGGATGTGAAATCAACTACCTCAGTAAGACTGGTGAGAGTGCCCTTCATATTTTGACCAAGAAGGGGCGCTTTGAAGCAGCCATGGTGTTGCTCACTCACGGGGCCAACGCCAATCTGAAAGGCCAGGACGGAAACACGGCGCTTCACCTGGCCATGAAGGTGTGTGTCGTCAGGAGTTCATGACCATATTTGTATATGTTTTCTTGTTTTCTTGGCCTTCAAAATGTAAGTTTGTCAGTCTTCTGGTAAAACAACCAAAATGTATGCTGGTCAGTGTTCTGGTAAAACAAATGCAGTGCCCTTTATTTCCTCTAGATGGACCACATGGAGCTGATCAAAGCTCTGATCGTATTTGGTGCTGACGTGGAGATCCACAACGACCTGGGAGAGACTCCTGGCCTGATTGCTGCTCGCACCAGCAAAGGTAAACACTTCAGCTGGAAAAAAGCTGCTTTGAACTGCTGGAGGAGAAGATAAGAGCGTGCCGAGATAAAAAAAAAAAAAAGAAAAAAAGTTGTGCAATTATTGGACTTTAATGGTGAAATAAGTGGATCATTAAATGACCCAGAGCTCCGTGTGTCACAGCGGCATGTCTCATGTTCATTTAAATTAGTTTTTAATTGTATTTTACATGGAAAATTAACTTTACTCCCTCTGTACTTTAGCTTATGTCTTATTTCCTAAATATGTTATTAAAAATCCACATCTAGTCTTAGTTGTCAGATGTTATTAGATTCTACAGATTACAGATTAAATCACCTCTGTGTCGTTCAGAGCGTTTGACTGAACGCGTCTTACAAATTCTGCGTGATTTATATCACGAGTAAATGTGAATGTGAGCAGCTCTGAAATGGAAATGAAAAAAAAAAGCATCGATATATATCTGTAAATTCTAGTGACGCACATGAGCTGAGAATGAATATTTTTGGTGAACTAATCGACTGACCGCATGACAGTTACTAACACATCATCATTCTCTCTCTCTCCCTCTCCCCCTCTCTCTCTCCCTCTCCCTCCCCCGCTTCTATGTGACGTGTGATGAATTCCTGATCTAACGTCGACCTGTCGTTGTCTTGCTCATGCATGTGTGTGTGTATCTGTGTGTGTGTGTGTGTTTTAACTTGAAGGTCCTAACAGAAAGATACTGCTGGACATGCTGTGTAGCGTAGGAGTCCAGCGTTGTCACCCTGCCTCCCCCGGCAGCCCTCCCCCCGTCTCCTACAAGGCCAACTCCCAGAGCATAGGTAACGACCGCCGTCACCGCGCTTCGCTCCGCCGGGTGACTGAGCGAGGAACTGTTGAAAAACTCTCAGACATTATCCTTTTTTTTTTACACTTCACTCTTTATAATTAACTGTTAATCATCTCATAATTAACAGTAATTGAAGTTCAGTAATTCAAGTTCAGGCTCTTGAAGATCTTCAAAGATGATGAAAGTTTAATTTTTTAATTTTCAAGGTTTTTGGTTTAAGATCTTGAAACTGATAGACATCGCAGCTGCACAGATTTGTTAAACAAGAATGTAGCTCTTGAACTCTTTTGTTGAAGTGAATGGTTCTGTTTATTGTGCTGTAAAATATTTATTCATCTAATTATGACTCTGGTTACACACAATAAAATCAATAAAATCACCAACCAGAGTTTTGTTCCACCTCCAGGGTTTGACCAACTCATGTACGTGGGAGCTGCCATCGGTGCAATAAGCAGAGGGGCAACAGTGGTGGACGGCCCCCGAGTGCAGAAGAAGTGAGTTCTTATATAAAGCATTTGAAGAGTGGTTTTTTTTTGTTTTGTTTTTTATTTTATTTCCATAGATCGATGCCTTTCTGTACAGAAATTATTAACTGGACTTTTTAGACAGAAATACATTTTCTTGTAAATAAGTAACTAAGTTCTTCAAGTTCACTTCCTTCTACAGTGTGGACAGACTTCTGTGTCTGGACGGCGGCGGTATCAAGGGTCTGGTGTTGATCCAGATGTTGATCGCTCTGGAGAAAGAAGCCGGTCGACCAATCAGGGAGCTCTTTGACTGGGTGGCCGGCACGAGCACCGGGGGCATCCTGGCCCTGGCCATCATCCACGGTCCGTGTGACACCTCACGTCATCGTGTTTTGTTTTTTTTTTTAAATACTGTGCAGCATCATCGATGATAACGACAGTTTCTTTAAACGCAGGCAAGTCCATGGATTACCTGCGCTGTCTGTACTTCAGGATGAAGGAGCAGGTTTTTAAAGGTTCACGGCCCTACGAGTCCGCACCGCTGGAGGACTTCCTAAAAAAAGAGTTCGGAGAGAACACCAAGATGACAGATGTCCAGTACCCGAGGTGACGGTTCTGTCGGAACACTGTAGCGGCGCGTCTCCCGCTAACGAGCTGCTTCAGCTCCACTGACAGACGCTTGATTTAAACTTCCCTTTTTAGGAGACGTGACCCTGGTTCGTTGACTCACGAGTGACGCGTGTGTCTCTGAAATCATCGACCACAATTTCTTATCAGTCACTTGCATCACTTCTAAATAAAATTGGTATTATTTTGATTCCCATATCTACCGGTGGAAACACAGCACAGCTGGTACGTTTGTCAGTGACTTCACAGAGATGTCGAGGTTGAGTCATGAGCTGCGGTTTGTAGCTCCAGCTCCAGCTCCAGCTCCAGCTCCAGGTCTTTATTAAACCCTGACATGTTGACATAATGTACAGAATAACTGATGAGGAAAAAAAATGGAAACAAATGTAGAGCTGGAAAGATGTGGGAATGAAAAGAGTGTGTTCACTCACATCATGGTTCAATTATGAGCCGTTATGTAGGAATATTATGAATCTGAAGCGCCCTCTACAGGATAAGAGAGTTTTTCGTTTTTACCGTGTTGAAAAAAAATGTATCAACCAGCTGTAAAATCCCTGTTTCACATTTGATTTAAATGAAAAAGTTACATTTTTATCATGGTGCATTTTTAATATTTAGACTTTTATAGTATACTTCAAATTTTTATACTTATTTTCTGACCAGTGCTTCCAATTCCAGGGTATTTTTATACTTCTGACCAGTGCTTCCAATTCCAGGGTGATGGTCACCAGTGTCCTGGCAGACAGACATCCAGGCGAGCTGCACATCTTCAGGAACTACAACAGTCCGTCTCTCCGCAGAGAGCCACCGTACACCACCACTGCCACCTTCAAACCCATCACCATTCCACAAGGTAACCTCTCTCACCGAGGAGTACTACATACTACTGCTGTGGAGTACTTTGATGGGTGTCAGTCCGCAGGTGTGCGTGTGTGCGTGTGTGTGTGTGTGTGTGTGTGTGTGTGGTTGTTACAGGTTGGGAGGATGAGGATGTGTTGATGGTAGGGTTCACAGAAGAGCCGTCCAGGAAGCGTAGAAAGGTGACAGATGAAGGTGACGTTAAAGGAGACGTAAACCTCCTGATCCACTGGAGTTAAAGCTCACACCACCTTTGTCAGTGGTGGCTTAGTGGTTAAGGAAGCGGGCTTGGGTCCAGAAGGTTTCTGGTTCGAGTCCACCAAGTTTCCACTGAGGGGCGCTGTCCCCCCACACTGTTCACTGTGGTGATGGGTAAAAAACAGAGGTCACGTTTGGTTGTGTGCGGTGGTGCAGTGGCGTGTGCTGTGTCACAGTGACAAGGAGTTCAATTTCCTTTCCTGTTTGAATGAACATGAATTTAAAGTTGTATAACCGCCCTCTCCCCCCCCCCCCACCCCCCCCAAATAAATGTTTCCTTTAGAACAACTCGTGTGGCGAGCCGCCCGCTCCAGTGGTGCCGCCCCCACTTACTTCCGACCAATGGGGCGCTTCCTGGATGGAGGGCTGCTGGCCAATAACCCCACACTGGACGCCATGTCAGAGATTCATCAGTACAACAAATCTTTAACTACGGAGGTGAGAGACAGAGAGAGAGTGTTTTTTTTTTATGTCCAGATGGTCGACGTGACTTATATTCAGTTGTAAAGTGCTGTCAATCATTCTTCCTGTCGATCCTCCTCCTGCTTCAGGGTCGTCAGCCTGAAATCAAGAAGTTGGGTGTAGTGGTGTCCCTCGGTACAGGTCAGTCTGTTCCACCACATCAAACATTGTACTGCAGTTGTTTTATATATTACTGTACATGTACACGTGGTCTATTATAGTGACATTGTGCGAGTTTTGTACGAAATACAATTTTTTTGTTTGTTTTTTCTTTTTTTCTAAATCTGTACGTACTACAGAATTCTCGAATAATTCTGATTATGTTATATTATGATATAATTATGAATATAATTATATCATGAATATAAATTATAATTTATATATATATAATAATTTATATATATATATATAACAATTTATATATATAATTTATATTTATAATTATAATTTATAATCATAATTATAAATATAATTATGATATAATTCCATTCTTTCTAATTCTCGTATTAGGAATGTAACGATGCATCGTTAATCGAGTAAAAATCGATACACAGGCGTGACAATTCTCATCGTTTGAAATTAAAAAATAAATCAAAAATAAAGACGTAAGGATTATGCTAAATACATGCTCATTTCTGCGGTTTCTGTGATTTTCCTCCAGGTAAACCTCCTCAGGTGTCGGTGAGCTCCGTGGACGTCTTCCGTCCCTCCAATCCTCTGGAGCTGGCCAAGAGCATCGTAGGAGTGAGGGAGCTGGGGAAGATGTTGGTGGACTGTGTAAGTACTGCACCCACACCTGGTTGTAGTGACCACAGAGGCAGCGGTCAGTTTGGTCCGTCTCTTCTGTGGAATCACGTGTTCTGTTTGTCTCTCCATGACAAGTGTACGGATTCTGACGGCTGTGCTGTGGACAGAGCCAGAGCCTGGTGTGAAATGATTGATACCGTCTACCACAGGTACGACCTCTGCTTTTGTTCAACCGAAATAGTCCTGCAGCGCCCCCCTTTGGTGCATTAATTCACAGCTTTTAAATACTGTGTTTCCTACAAAACTGTTTTAAAACTTTTTAATCAATGAATAAAAAATGAGTCATCATATACAATCTTTAATCTCTTGACTCTTCGCTCTGTCAGCCTTACAGTAGGTCTGCGCCCCCCACTTTGGAAACCACTGGACTAAATCTTAATTATTCAATATTATTTTTTTTTGTTTTTTGACCAATTTTCTTCTTCTTTCTTTTTTTTTTTTTTTTTTTACCATTTTTTTTTTTTTTTTTTCCCAATTTTTTTCTTTTTTTTTTTTTTTTTTTTTGCAGGCTGAGCCCCCAGCCTGTCACAGGAGGTGATGCTGGACGAGGTGAGCGACGCCGTCCTGGTGGACATGCTGTGGGACACCCAGATGTATCTGTACGAGAAGAGAGCCGTCCTCCGGTCCTTGGCAGATATGCTGCTGAACAAATAACAATAACAAAGCAGGTGACGTGGCACAAGCTGTGGCTCTACAGCACATAACAGGACAAAGGTCATCAATGTAGGGCCGGTGAACAAAGAGTCCGACACGAGACTCAAATGTAGGTAAGAACTTTTATGACCATTTTAGGGGCAGTTCAGTCGCGGTCGTGTGACCTCATCAGTGGTTATATTATGACGATGAGTTATGAAGTTTACAGTTTTTCTATATATTAACCGTTGAACTGACCAGTGTGTGTATGCAGAGTCAAACGGACGGCACAGTGGTGTGAACACGTCGGTTACTCAACAGCACAGAACACAAATTTGACTTTTTTTTTTTTGTTGTTGTTACAGAATACCTCCTGCTTCCTGTTTATATAAAACTCATTCCACGTAAGTCTTGCAGCTGAGACTTATTTTTAACCATGTATGAAGTAACGTGTACTGCCTTCTCTTCACCCTCTGTTGCACGTCCTCTAAATGAAGTGACCTGACGGCGAGTCGTGTACACTGAAAAAAAAAAGACTATTATTAAATTATTGTTCTACCTCCTTGATGAACACGAACAACTAACTTCTACTACCAAGTACTATTTGTATATGGATTGAAAACTGAAGTGCGTATAATAATAAACTATATCAATGTCAACCTATGTCTAAATGGTCTTCCTTTAAACTGACATTGAAAATGAAGTCAAATTCAACAACGAAACCTTGAACAAAATCACGTAAACGTACATTTATTAGACGACTGACAGACGCAGCATTTTAAAACACAAGTAAACCAACATCGGAAGCCATTACTGATTGTTACCAGCAGGTGGCGAGAGCTACCATTATTTGCAGTTTTCATCTGGAGTTACACACAAGCACATCCATCCATCCATCCATCCATCTTCAGGTCGGGTCCGTTCCTTCATCCACACAGGCAGAATGAGCAGAATAAATATTTATTTTAATAAAAACAGTTTTACTTTAAGTATTTGTTTAAACACTGGTCTCACAAGGTGATCGTGTGAACCGAAACTGATTGTGTGAACCAAACCACTGCAGTTTCAATTCCTTTAATAGTTGGCGTGAGTCTGTCTGAGGTTTCGGAACATTCTAGTTGTATCTTCCTTCTGATCAAAAGCGAACGTCGGTGCAGGTTACAGGAAGCAGGAAGGGCTGTTTTATCTATCGGGTTTTGAGAGCGCACTCTCACTCGCGGAGTTTCACTCTGACGACGCTGTAGTGGATGTGCTCTGGTTCTTGTGGAGGATGGAGTCGGACAGATGTGTAGACATTTCTGTGGTGGTGGTCGGGGTCAGCAATACTGACGTAAAGATGCTCGTCCTCCTGCAACAGGTCCGACTGATGTGGAGAGAAAAAGACACGATGAAACAAAGGATTAGATGTTCAGAAGGAGAGAAAGTGAATTATTTGTCATTGTGACACAGCGCACAACGGATGAATCTGGCAGCTGTTGGGACTCGAACATGAAACCTCCCGGACAAATCTGCTTCTTTAACCACCAAGCCACCAGTGCCCCTAAACTCTAAGGATATTAAAATTAACATTCCATTGAGGCACGGACGGGGTTCGAACCCGCGATCTTCGGTTTACGAGACCGACGCCTTACCACTTGGCCACCGCGCCTCTAAAGAGGAAAAACATTTTCACGTACAGTTGCCCAACAGAACTCTTCAACCATACTCATACTCGTACTCCAAAAGTTCTGCCGATCCCAATACTCCATAACAGCTTTTCGCTACCACCAGCTAACCAAGTGTTGTGTGGTTTCCTACTGCAGTTCCGTTTCTCACCTCGTGGGTAGTTTTTGAGTAGGTCAACATTGTCAGCATTCTGGAGGTATTTCAACATCAGGACAAAGACAGAAGTGAGACAAACTAAGAATAGCTGCGTTAGAAAAACGCCTTCTCGGTGTAACTGCACGGTGGAGCCGTGATGATGAGGGGTTCAAACCATTGGTATTAAAGCTCTGCTCACTTTCTGGTCAAGTTTTATGGATACAAAATAATATCTTCATTTCACAGTTTTTTTTAGGTATTGTACCTCTTCTTGGGCAGCAAAAAAAAAAAAAAACCCAGATACCACCACACTCAACTCTGGTTTTAGGGCCTTCGTGACTACTAACGTAGCTATGGCTACAACTTCTGTTTTGACGCGGTTAAGGAGCTCAGTGTGAAGTTCAGAGAAGTTCTTCCTCCTACCTGTGTCACGGTGTCGTAGGTCGTAGGTTCAGGTGATCGATTGGAGCTCATTTTCCTTCTGAAAGAAAAATCAGGATTGAAGGTTTTAAAGTGGTGAAAGTGTTGAATATGTGAATGTTATTCTGTGTTCTGACCTGATACGACAGAAAACAGCAGAGAGGACTATGGGTAATATTAAGACCACAGTAACCAGGACTCCAATGACTGCAGGTGGCCACAGCTCTGACTTCACCCTGAGTATTCTGCCGTGGGATGATTGTGAGCTAACTCTGCAGGTGTACTTCCCTGCATCACGGCCGCTGACGGGGTCCAGAACCAGGTGTTTGTCGTTGGTTCCTGTCAGATTATTGTCCAAAAACCAGAGGTATTTTGTGTCATCAGTCAGAGGACAGCTGGTTGTGCAGGTCAGGGTGACCCTCTGACCTTCGGTCACCTCTGCAGACGGAACAAAATCCACTCTTAGACCTGAGGATTAGTCAGATTGGTCAGTAAATGCACACGAACCGTAGTTTTATCAACAGTTGTCTCTTCAGTGATGACTTCATCCATGTACTGTGTAGGACAAATACCAAGGTGATGCTGTGGTAAAGGTCCAAAAACAGTTATTTAATCCATAGAATCATCAGCACGACACTGATTGTCTGGTGAGGAGCCAATCAGAGGACTTCTTTTTTTAACATACCACCTGCGGTTCAGAAGGTGTTAAAACTGAGGTTGGTTTGTACAGACTCGATCAGAAAGTACTTTCACAGTGGTATCTTAACAAATGCTGTTCTAATGTTCTCATGTTCTCATGTTCTCATGTTCTAATGTTCTAATGTTCTAATGTTCTAATGTTCTAATGTTCTAATGTTCTAATGTTCTAATGTTCTAATGTTCTAATGTTCTAATGTTCTAATGTTCTAATGTTCTAATGTTCTAATGTTCTAATGTTCTAATGTTCTAATGTTCTAATGTTCTAATGTTCTAATGTTCTAATGTTCTAATGTTCTAATGTTCTAATGTTCTAATGTTCTAATGTTCTAATGTTCTAATGTTCTAATGTTCTAATGTTCTAATGTTCTAATGTTCTAATGTTCTCATGTTCT